TTTAAAATATAAATAACCCTGAGTGAGCAAAATCATAGTGTGAATAAAAATAAAGCTATATTTATTGGAAACATAGTTTTTTCCAGCCACTATTGCATTTAAGCCTCATAACAACCCCATGAGTTAGTGTAATTATTGGTCCCATTTTGCAGACCAAGAATCTAAGGAGCCAAACTTGTCCAAGATCATAACTAGTAAATGGTGGAACCAAGATTCAGCCCAGATCTGTCTACCTCTCAATGTATACAACCTCTCAAAATGTAGTTTCTTATGCTACCTTCTACTCCCTCTGGGAGAGGGAGTGCTAAAAGGGAAAAGAAAGAGGAGTCATGAAAACATGCATTATTTTATTCAAAACTTTTGCCCAAATCTAGTTCTGCTTGTATTTTTTGAAAGTGAGGGTGTCTCAGTAAGAGAGGTGAAGCAAGGTTAAGGGCTCGGCCCCAAAATTAAATGTTTAAGTCAATTTCCCTTCTTGGCTAGAAAGTTGGTTAGTCCCTACTGAGATAAAGGAAATATATACCAAATACAGTTTCTGAGCATGTCCCTGAGTGATTTCCCCTGATACCAGGAAATAACTATAAAGTTGTTTGTATAGCTGTTTACAGTTCACAAGCACTTTCACATGCTTTAGCTCACTTTGATTCCCATTGAAGTGACAGAGATGTGATTATTAACCCTTTACCATTATTAATTACAAATGGGAAAACTGAGGCTCAAAAATTTCAAGTGACTTGCTCTCTCCCAGGTCACACCAAAAGTGGTGGAGTCATAATAAATATGGTGGAGTCTTGGGACTCCATTTTCAAGTTAAATGAATGTTTTCACTTTACCTTCAAGGAGCTCCAGTGGCTAAAGCAGTTTTACAAATAGCACTTCATCAGCCCGACACACAGCAAACACATACAAACATACCTGGCAGGTGCTGTCATTGTTACAAACTTAGCTCCAGGCATAAAAGTAGGCCTTTTCAACTAGATCCTCAATGGCAATATTCCCTTGCCCTGGGATTGTAACACCCTACAGAGTCCCAAATTATCTCAAAATTTTATTTGTAAGAATCCGTGCACTATTTTTGGTGAGAAATAGCCACTGTATTGGAGAGGAGGATGGAGAAATAGGTAATGAAATAATTGCATCTACATATTACATTATAGTTTATAAAGCTCTTTCATGCTCTCATTTTATTTGATTTTTAAATGCTGTGAAATAGGCAGAATTGATATTATTATGATTTTTTTCTAATAAGAACACTAAGACTCCCTATCCGTAGTGGATGACCTCTCCTATGAGAGTCAGTCCTTGGGTCACTTCTCCTTAGTAGATCTGAGTTTAAAGGCATCTAAAAGTGGACTCTCACTGTGAAGTACACCTAAAGGAATTTCAGCCTTATGCTAACAAGTTTGGAGTATCAGGAGCTTTGAGGAATTGTGGACTTAGACATTTTTAAAATAACTGTCAGTAAACTAGTCTCTGGCTAGAGCAGCACTTTTACCAGGAATTTATGACAAATGATTTCTCAGAAAATTTTCTTTCATTTTCCTTAGAAAAACCTAAACTTGATACATTTTTAAGTGGTTGTAGACAATATCTCCAATTGTGGAAAGGTGTAGTTCTCACTAAAGGTCTTTGCCTAATTCCTCCATTACTGATCCTCTCTTGGAGCAAAAGCTGAGGTGGGGGCAAGTCCAACTAGGCCCCACTTCCTAGATTTGCAGGCTCTTATCAAGATTCCTGAGCACATGCACCCAGCAGACTCTCTCTCACCTCAGTTGCCAAGACGAACCACCACTTGAACCCGTTTTCCCACCCACACCCAACTCCAGCTGGACTCAGAGGCAAACACTAAGTAGGAGAAAGTAAAGCTGGAGTTTAGCATGATTACGATACCTTACCTTTATGTAACTTCTTTTTCTTTTCACTGCACTCTTATGTATATTCTCTCTTTTGGTCCTGTCAGGGGACAAAGGCAAGAACTGTACAAATCCATGTAAAGAAAATCCCTCATCCACGCTAACCAGATGCCTTCCTCCCGAAATTCAAAGCCCACACACAGTCACACACTCAGTGTGCCTCAGTTATGCCCATAGATCCACATTGAGATAGAAATAAATACAAAGGTGGTGGAAATAAATCTGCTTACTCTTGATGGGGAATCCAAAAACCTGAGTTCTTTTCCCAACTTGGCACTTAATTATATGACCTTGTACTAGTGATACTCCCTACCCCAACCTAGATATTAATTTTAAAATCTAGTCTATATCTATGGCTATTGAGCATCTGAAATGTGGCTAGTATGGTTGAAAGACAGAATTTTTCTTTTCATTTCATTTAATTAATTTACATTTAAGTTTAAATAACCACATGTGGCTAGTGGCTACCACATTGGACAGCACAGAATAATGTAGGGATGTTGGCTTGAATGATCTGTGCCATCTCTCCTAAGTGGTCTATGCAATTCTATTCTACAGGGTTCATTCAAACTCATCCAGAATTCTCAGTTAGTGTGCCTAGGCCTCACCAGAAATGATAATCTAGGATTGCTTCATACTCATGGGGTATGCTCTGGGGCAGAAAGAAGGAAAGTGATGAGAGCCATTTTTCTATAGCTAGACTGGTAATTTTTATTGTCTCTGGGTTTCAATAAGCTGGAACTAAAGGGTGAATCAAGGCTATCCCAATGAATGTACATGTATGTATAGAACTGGGCTATAAGTATAGTAATACTCTTTATCTACCTTTCCAAAGTGTCATTAGTATTAATTGTGGAACAATTTCAGTTATGGAAGAAAAAACTTGACTTCTCTTGATTTTGTGGTAAAACAAATACATCTTGAGAAAGTCCCTTTCTCTCTGGCCTCAGTTTCCTCATCTGCAATATGAGAGAGTTGGACTAGATTTATCTATTTGTTAAGCCAAACAAGGTGATGAGCTACGGATACACCTTGGACAGCTCGGGACACAATGATTAATCAGACCTGTCATACCCTCAGTAACTCAATTTAATAAAAAGTCTAAACAAAATAATTTTTGAAAGCCCCATTTCAGCTCTATGAGTCCATGTAAGCTATGAATCCTGTGGCTCGTAGTTAACGTGTGAATGTTGTATGACCAAAAATCTTTCAACCTTTTACACAAGTCCTACCTCATTAAGACATAGTCCCCATCCAACTACGTGTTATTCCTCCTCTCCCTCACCATTCCCTACTTGGTCCTCTTCACCCAGGTAATAAAAGTAAGAACTGAAAGTATGGGAAAATGAGAAAGAGTAGAGAGATGGCAGCAGAGAGGTATCAGTCTGGGCACTCAACCATTTCCTAAAATGACAGAAAATGCGAGGATAAGTATGTAATGAAGATAGACAGAAAGGATGGAGAGGTGAGGAAAGGAGATAAGGAATCTGCTGTCAATTATAGCAAACATGGTATAAATTGATGCAGCTGTACAGGCAAAGACCAATTGGGGATAGGTGGAACACTGCCCTTCCCACCACTTAGGAAGTAGAGAAGCAGCTAAGGAAGGAAATGAGTAGGGGAGCACACAGAAGCACCACAGGGTATCCCCTCTCTGCTACTGCTGTGGTGATGCCATCTTGATGCTCAAAAATCTAGCCCCTGGGCCGGCCCTGTGGCTTAGCAATTAAGTGCACGCGCTCCGCTACTGGCGGCCCGGGTTCGGATCCCGGGCACACATTGACGCACCACTTCTCCGGCCATGCTGAGGCCGCGTCCCACATACAGCAACTAGAATGATGTGCAACTATGATATGCAACTATCTACTGGGGCTTTCGGGGAAAAAAAGGAGGAGGATTGGCAATAGATGTTAGCTCAGAGCCGGTCTTCCTCAGCAAAAAGAGGAGGATTAGCATGGATGTTAGCTCAGGGCTGATCTTCCTCAAAAAAAAAAAAAATCTAGCCCCTTTCTCTTTTATTCCTTACCTGAGTATGAACTACCCTTCCCCCATAGCTCAAGATGGCTGTAACAGTCCAGACTGGAGGGGAAGTGATAACTTACCCTCCGTCTCCCTTATGAACTTTCCCCTTGATCTCTGGGGATCTAAATTCAGTTGAAGAAATTTTAGCTATAATGTCACTTTAGTTAGTAAAACTCCCCAGGGGAGGATTAAAGAGTCTGGTGTTGGATCTAAATGTTATCTCCCCCTTTAATTTGATTTCACCCAACCAGTACTACAACCAAGAATTCTATGAAAGGCAGTGAAGATTTCAGAAACCTTAGAGCCCTGGCCCCAGGTTGGCTGTGAGATAATTCTGGTACTTACAAATGCAAAATTTGAGTAATTGGCTTTATTCCTGCAGCAGGTAGCAGGCCAGAGGGGTGTTGCTGGGTTTATGTTTTACTGAGTACACCAAATTAGTTGTTAACTATGGGGCCATATTTAAAAAGTATTAAAATGAACATATTTATGCCCATTCCCATATAGACCATCTTAACATAACTTAATATAATTGATGTAGCCAGCTAACATCAGGGTCTCATCCATTTGGTTCATAACATCAAGATGCCCCCACAAGTTCCAGTCAGCACACAGCAGAATACCATGTCCCCATTCTCCAGAAGCCAGACAGAGCCACATAGCTCCAACACCGCAGAGCCTAGCCAAGACCAAGAGCATTTACATGGCTTCCAAATTCCTAAAACAGGAGCACTGATAGCAAGCCCAGTCATTCCAAACCCTTTTCAGTGCGACAGAATAAAACCCACTTTTAATCCAGTGGAGGCAATGTATTGTCATGAGGATTTGGGGAACCAAACTCAAACTAAGACAATTATTTTCCAGGACATAAGGCACCAGAAAGGAAAAAGCTTTTTAGAGTGTGGGTAGAGCCACAAGTGTCATAAATGAGAAAGAGAGAGAGATATGAAGTTTATCTTGCCTAGGATCAAGTTTCACATAATGGCAGTTAGATTAGCATATACTGGTAGAATTATCTTTCTCCGCCTACAAATAGTCTAACTACTCTCAAGTCATAAAAATCACACAGAACTAAGCTGAAGAGAATATACTCCTTCCTGCTTCCCGTCTTAAAGCAGCTGGGTGATTTCCTGAGGATTCTGTTACTGGAGCTAGGGATAAAAGCTCATTTATACACACAGCAACCTGCAAGTCTCCAGTTTCTATTCTTCCTCACTCCCTCTGCCTTCCCCTCCCCCACTTTGCACAAGAGAAGCAAAACTTAGGCATGCTTTAAACAGTTTGAAGACTAATCTGAAAGAGGAAGAAGAATCTGTATACATTGGCTTGCATATGTGCCCTGCCCTTTCTTCTCTTGAAAATAGCAGCAACCCGTCTTTCCAAAGAAGACTGCCTAAAGAGCAGAAACTCTGTGAATGGAGTGGGCTTTCAGCACCATCCAGGGGATTCAGGTTCACTGTTAGCTCTCCAAGGAACGAGTAGATTGGATTTACTGAAGAATTGGAGCTTGCTTCTGAGAATGAATGCAGAAGGACCTTAAACTGTCAACCTTGAAGTTAGCAGGTAAGGAGATTCAGTGTTTCAATGCCAGGATCAAAACAGCATGTGGTAAAATTCTGCTGATGGCAGATTTTAGCAAATTCCTGGGAGTTTGGGTATAACTAGTCTGCCTTGCCTGCTTTAAATTAGGCTGTTACTATGAATTCTTTCTGCTTTATTTATTGGCAAGAGATTTGATAACCTAATCAGTCTGTCAACAAGTATTGCTCAGTGCTTCTGCTAGGGGCTCAATGTGGCAAAATACAGAGGGGACCCTCCCCAAGCTTCCAGCACCTTTGCAATCAAGTCAGAAATGTAGGGCATATTTTAAAATCCTATTTTAAGGGCTCAATAGAGTTTCTTTCTCTGTAACGACAGTTTCCTTCAATATGGAAAGAAAATATATAGTGACTGACGAAGGTAAACCAAGCAGTGAAGAATGATCTGAAATTTTCACTAGGTAGTTTCACATTATCCCACTTTAGCCTCTCAACATCCTACAATTTAGACAGGGTAAGTGCTACTATCCCTGTTTTGCAAATAAGTAAATAGACTCAGAGAGGTTAAGAAAACTTCTGGAAACACACACAGAACTACAAATGGGTGAGTTCTGACTACAGACTGCAAATAGAAAGCTCTCATAACTATAAATTAAAATAAGAAAATTGCATGATCTATTTAGTAACTTAGACATATCTAACATAGACCAAGTTTACACAGAGCCAACACTTTATACATTTTAATCAAAATCTTTGGCCAGGAGTATTCTTCTACTTAGCAGCAAAGAAGCTGTTTTCAAGGATAAACAAATGGGTTGGTGGGTTCCATCTCTAGCTAAAAATAAAAACAAAAAACCTTGAATTCAGTGGTTCTGGCTTCCAATGGTCTGTTTTGAAACCTAGAGAGAGGCCATGACACCATACAGTTATCAGGTGATTATTCAAAAACAAAATGTAACTAAATCTGGACTTGGGACACCATTGTATATCAAATATATTAATGAACTTTGTTTCTAGATAATTTTAAGTTTGTGGTATCTATTGCAGGAAGATTAAGTTTATTGTACCTATTACAATCACTCAAAAATATTTTCTGTTGTTGTTTCACAATTAATTGCCCAATTAGAACTAAAAGTTGTCTGTGTTTACATAGTAAATAAACAACCTCATGTACTATATTTACATCCATCCCCTTAACAAAAACTGCTCCCCAGGTCCCCATAATATTTAAATGAATACACTAGCCAGTTGGTTCCTGCAAATGAAATAAACCAGCCCAGGAGTGAACCCAAAATAGAGTGGTAGGTTAAAGAAACTTTGCAGATTAAGTCCAGTTTGAATCCAGCATCTCAATGTCTTCCTAGTCTAGAATCCTCAATTTCATTTTCTACTACCTTTTCCCTCCTATCCTTAGTCAAATTTTAATGTGTTTAGGAACTATTTATCTGGGATAAAAGTAAGATTCTTCCATGGTACAGAAAATTACAAATTTGCCTTTGCAGTATCACTGGCTCATGATAAAGGATTAAAGGGAGAGCACTGATCCTTAAGGTATATATCCAACCTTGTGGATTTGATGCCATGAAGGGTAACTATCATAATTGCCCAGATAACATAGCTCTGCATGAACCTCTACTTTGATTCATTTTATTATCTCTTATGTTCTTATTAAAATATCTCAAATGTGTTGTAATCCAGTTAAACAAGTGTCAATTAAGCTTAATACAGTATGTGGCACAAAGTAAGGTAAAATGTAGCTCCTGCCCTTGGGGAACTTACAATGTTGGTGGGGATACAAGACATACACAACATAAAAATATGAGACAGTAAACCAATGTTATGTTTTTAATGGCAAAGGAGCTTAGAGAAGAAAGATAGCAGTGAGCTGAGCTGAATGGAGAAGGCTTCACAGAGAGGATAAAATGAGATAGGCCTAAAAGAATATCTAGGATATGGGACCATGCTGAGCAAACTTTCTGTGCACATAGTAAGTGGTCGATATATGTTGTTTGAGTTCAATTCTAGTGACAGAAATGATGTTAGAAATTTACTGTGTTAGAAGTAAGTTTGGCACCTGCAGGGTACACCAAGGAGCCTGATGTGGCTAGAGTAAAGCGATTGAACTGAGGGATAACAGTAAACAAATTTGGAGAGAAATTTAAGGCCAGATTATTATACATTGAATTCCAGGCACTTTTTAATAGGAAATCATATCAGGAAACTTTGAATAATTGAGGACATGATGGAAAATCATTTCGAGTAGATGAATCTGGCAGAGTTTCATAGGCCTGACAAAATTTGGAGAAAACTGGAGACGGAGAGACCACTTAAAGAGTAGAAGTTAATGAAGCTCTCAACTACATTGGTGGCAGTGAAAATGGAATTGAGAGGAACTCAAGAGACATTTAAAAGGAATAATAAATGGAAGTTGGTGAGTGATTAGATACAGGCAGCATAGGAAAAGAATAAGTCAGAGCTGTATCTGAAATTTTAAACCTGTGGGATCTGGGCAGTGGTGCTACTACCTTACATTGAAATAGTTAAATTGGGGATGGAAGTGGGGAGTGTGGGAAATGATGAGTTCTGTTTTTGATCTATTGAGTTTGAGGAGATGGAGAAAATTCCAAGAAGCAATGTCTGATGGATGGCTGGAAATAATAGCCCTCTATGTGAGTGATGGGTAAGGGGTGGAGGCCGAAGTTAAATCCAGGGAGTGTGATAGCCAAGGCCGTGAGAATTGCTCAGCTACTAGAAAGCAAATCTAATCTAAAAGATGACCAAGGACTGACACTTATGCAGTGCTTACACTTTTGGGCAAGAGGAAGAGAAGAGGGTCCTGAGAAATAAGAGCCAAGAAATATAATTCTTCTTCTCACAAAATACCAAGAGTCATGAGGGAAAGTATAAGGTTATTTATTCTTTTAAACCTCCCCTGCCCGACAATAACTAGCATAGTGCCTCATACACACCATGAGCACTAAAAAAATATTAAGTTATTCTAACACAAGCAAGCATGGAGATTTTCTGTTTCAAGCTATCTTCCGGTTTGAACTCTGTCATAAACTCTGCAACCTAACAGTGGCTGCTCTAAACTACCTTGCTGCATGGATTTCAATGAGAAAGAAACTGGGCCTGGATAACTGGGAGTTCATCCTAACTTTGCCTTTTAATCAGCTGTGTGTTCTCTAGCAAGTTACTGAACATCAGTATTTCTTGTTTTCCTCATGTGTCAAATGTAGTAACGAGCTTATAGGAATATTTTTCAGATCTGTTAAAATGATAAATATGAAAGCAACTTGAAAACAAAAAGCACCATCCAAAATAGTTCTGTTTAAAGTCCATTCCAGGAGAATAAAATACATAACAAAATTGGTTGCATGTGGAGAGAGAAGGGCCAGTTACTTTCTGCTCCCAAAACTACACCTCTAGACCAGGGGCCTCACTCTAAGATCAGCAATCTCATCCCTCCTAGACCCATCAGTAGGATCCAGCCTCTAGTTACCACTAACTCTACAATACCTGTGGAAGCCTCAATGTGAATTCTGAAAGGAATAAAAAATTTAAAGTAGTATTTAAGAAGTATTTCTGTGAAAACACTATCCACCTTTTTTCATTAGCTATTACTTCTATAAAGTCCATTGATTCTTAGAATTAAACGCTAAGGATCAAAATAATTTTTTACACTGAGTTCTGAATGTAACACAATATTCCACTACTCTGTCATAAAGCCACTTGTTCAACCACAGATTTGGTTATAATACAAATCATATTCTCAGAATATATAGGTAGGTATAGTGCAGTGTCTCTCCCTAAAATACAAAAACCTAAAGTCATTTTTATCCCTTACACCGATGTTATTTGGGTTTCAGGCTACATGGTTATCTACATGGTATGATTTGAGATCCAGTGAGGAGAAACTTTCCCAGTTCAATCAGGTATGAGCAATCTCCTGGGAAATGGATTCATACTAATCAATCCTACAAAAGAGATTCAGGAGTCAGAATGCCAATTTGTTGATTTGCGTTGAGGAAACATAACTGCTAATATGTCTGATAGATTCATAGCAGGTGGTGGCACATCCTCATCCTTACAGAAAAGGCAACACAGGAAGTCATTTAACCTGATTAGATAAATCCAGACATCTTAAGTCCATTAATTCACGTTACAACACTGGTGCTAAAACATCGTCAACTGACAATTACTTTTGCCTTCAATTGAGAATTCTTCATAGGTTGGTAGAGAAGACCACTGTTTAAACATAAGTTGTGCATCACAAAACTCTTCTATCCTGCTTCCTCATTCCATTCCATCCCACTCCATCCCATCATGATCCCTCCCTTCTTTGTGCCCCACCAGTTTTTTGTTCCTGGATTTAGAGGGGAGTACACATGAGAAAAAAAGAGGAAGAAAAATCTTTAAATGTTTGGAAGAAGTTAGTTAGGGAGGGGCTCTGGTAGAAATAGAGGGAAAGAGACAAAACAGAAGAGTAAACATAGACCCTTGAGCTCTCAAACACAAATCTGATTTTCCTTTTGATGAATAAAATGTCATTGTCTTATTTTTTTTTATTTTCTTAGTGAGGAATATTGCTCCTGAGCTAACATCCATTGCCAATCCTCCCCTTTTCGCTTGAGGAAGATTGTCCCTGAGCTAACATCTGTGCCAGTCTTCCTCTATTTTGTATGTGGGACACCACCACGGTATGGTTTGATGAGCAGCGTGTAGGTCCAAGCCTGGGATCCGAACCTGGGAACCCTGGGCCACCAAAGTGGAGCGCACAAACTGAACCACTATGCCACTGGGTCGGCCCCTCATTGTCTTATTTAGAGTGTTGTAGAATCAATACATCCCAAACATTTGAGCTCCTACTTAAATGTAGCTGATGGAAAAGGAAAAAGAGCTAAGATCTAGACTTAGAGTCCCCTGGCACATTCAAGCTTTCTATTTTTTTTTTCCATGAATCTCTTTTCCCTAAAAGGGAAAGAAAAATCCAGTTTGGAATCACATTTTGAGATGTCTAACATA